AGAGGGAAAGAGAGAAAAGGAAGAGGGAAAGAGAGAAAAGGAAGAGGGAAAGAGAGAAAAGGAAGAGGGAAAGAGAGAGAAAGAAAAGAGGGAAAGAGAGAGAAAGAAAAGAAAGGAAAGGAGGGAGAAAAAGGGACCTAGAGAGGGTCAGAAATGGTAGGAAAGAGAGAGAAAGTAAGCAATGGAAAATGAAAATGTTTGGACTGAAACACAGTGAGTGCATGACCTCAGCTACGAGGGTTAGACTCTGCAGACTCCAGGCTCACTTTAAGAATGGCTCCATTCTGACTAGAATGCTGCACTGTCAACACAGAACAGGGAAGAGGAAAGAGAGGCAGGGAAAGGGAGAGGGGGGAGGGAGGGAAAGAGAGATGGATGGAAAGGAAATGGGATGACGAAGAGGTAAAGCACAAGGCAGGGGAATGAAGAGGGAGGGATGATTGGTGGGAAAGAGGATCGGAGGGAGGGAAAGATATGAGGAAAGGGGGAGGGAGAGAAGGAAGTGGGAGGGAAAGGAGAGAGTGAGGGACGGAAAGGGGAGAGGGAAAGGATGGAAGGAGACAGATTGGGGGTTAAAGAGGGCAGGAGGGTTCAAAGAAAGCAGGATCAAGTCAATGGGCATAAGGAGGAAGTGGTGGAGACAGCAGTAGAGTAAGAAAAAGTGATAGGTAGTGAGAGGGAAAGAAAGAAAGAAAGAAGGAAAGAAGGAAAGAAAGAAAGAAAGAGACAGCAGGATGGGGGGGTTCATCTTTCTGATATCTTACTTTGTTACAGTGAAGCTTATCTCCACTTCACTCCTACTTCTCCCATTGTCCCTCCACCTGATAAGGAGATGAAATTGTGATCTCAAGCCCCACCACTGCCTGGTGTCAAATGAACAACGCCATACAACAACCTCACAGAAATTTGCTGCAAAGTATCAGCAGGTTGCTTTAAGTCCTGTTTTGTGAATTTGCATCAATTTTTGGATAAGTACATGAATAAGAAAGAAAGGTTTGGAGGGATATGGGCCAGCAGCAGGCAGGTGGGACCAGTTTAGCAGATAGCAAGAACTGCAGATGCTGGAGTCAGAGACAACAGCGTGGAGCTGGAGGAACACACAGCAGGTCAGGCAGCATCAAAGGAGCAAGAAAGCAGTCAAATATGTTAATAATTGGGAAAGGTGAAGATATCAATGGAGAATGCTTAAATCAGCTAACACCAATAATGTGGAATAGTGATCTTATGGTATAGTTTGCTATCGAGTGACGGCTGGGGAGATTTGTTGCTTCATTTCATTGCCCCAACTAGAGAACAAGGTGACGCCTTCTCTGAGGTGGACCATATACCAGTAGTTTGTGTGGAAATTTTACAAACTTCGGAATAGTTAATGTACCTACATGCATAAGAAAGTTAAGATAACAAAAGGCAAGTGTTGTAAACAACACATGAAAACATGTAACATCGTACCCAAAATAGGGCAAGAAAGGATATATGTGCAGATATCTTTTCTCCCACAGAGAGAATCCGTCACCAAATTTAAATCTCCAACACTAAATTAATTCACTGTACCTGTAAGCATGTTTTGAATGCTTATCTGTCAGTCCTGCGTAATCTGTTCTTACATCATCTATTGGTACCCAGTTCGCTCCCTGTAAAGTTATGAAAGGCAAATAGTTACGTAAGAATTATATCAGTAGATTATTGGAGCTATGTGTCAACTCAATCAAGTTGACCAGTTTCTGTTCATTCTTTACATTCACATGTACAATTTGCTGTGGTTCCATTTTAACATGCATCTCTATGTTTTATCTTTTAGACTTTTAGTAGTAAATGCTAAGTTAATTGCTGAATTCAGTGAAATATATTAACAGGAATATTGGAATTTCATGCAAGTATTGCAACGATAGGATTAGTTAATGGCGGCTAATAACTTCACTGATTTGATTTTTATTATTAACAAATCTATAGTTTAACTTTCAAGTTGCAAACTGCTAATAAATGCATCACAATATTTATTATTTCATTAAGGAGTCCTCAGGAAAAGTACTGAAATAAAATAGAATCTGTAAATGTAATTAGGCTTATCTCACAGTGTCTTTGATAGATAAAGCTTTGAATTTTACAATTATTAAGCCTAGAGTACACGGCCTAGAACATAAAGCCAATTTCAACAAGTAGTTACACAGAGCTGACAATCAGGAAAAATACCCAGTGTATTTAGAATTGTAAAATCATTGATTTATAAAACAAATTCAAAAACGCTTACAGACATAGATTTTGATGGCTTTATTGGCCCCTCTGCAGATGTTAATCAGTTAACCGTGCTACGGAACAGGGGATTTTAACACATCACGATCAATCTAATTACTGGAAAAGCTATTGTGTGCATTAGATGGCACAACACCTGTGCAGACAAACAATTGCGATATGGATGCATCTCATGAAATTGATTGTACTGGGACTGAGTGAGCATAAGAATCCTCCGTGACATTTTATGCAAGATACCAAAGGGACCAAAGGAAAACACGTTAGAAAAGCCCTAGCCAATCAAGTGATTGCTTGACGTTTTGGCAAAACTTGCATTTACATCACATCTTTAACATGTTAAAATATTCCAAGGTACTTCAGAGGAGATTACAAATTAATATTTGACATCAAGTTACACAGACAGACAACCAAAGGCTAGATGAATGTTTCAAGTTTTATGAACAACTTTAAGGATCAGAGAGAGGGTGTCATACAGAGGTGGAGAGATTTAGGGAGGGAATTGCATAGCTTTAAAAGTAAAATTGGATTTATATCATAATTTTTGTGACCATTGGACATCTCAAATTACTTTAAAGTCATCAAGGTACTTTTGACATGTAGTCACAGTTGCAATGTAGGAACGCAGCAGCTAATTTACTCACAAGAAGCTCCTATATGGGAATTAATGACCAGATAACCGACCTTTAAGACGTTGACAGAAGGCTAGATATTGCGCATGACATCGAATCAGCTCCTTTGTTCTTCTCCAAAATAGTGTCACGCAACAAAATATGTCTATCCAAGAAGCACCTCTGTTCACTAGTATATTCAAAATGACAGCACCTCTGACAGCGCAGTATGCCCATAGCACTGGTCTGAAGGCTTTCATTTTATTTTGTATGTTCAAGTTCTAAAGTTGGACTTGAACCAAGAATCTTGTGACTCAGAGGACAGAGTGTTACCAATTGAAATACAGCTGACACTCAGGCAGCTCAAGGCCAGAGGTCAGACTTGGAGACATATTGAGAACCAAGATGGTATCAGTTTTGTTGACAGTTGTACAGTATCCATCACTAATCATCCATCACTATACAAATCCCAAGTCAAGGAGCTGAACTTCCATCACTGCCAGAACATTGTAGATATTTTTGGGAATACATAGTAAATCAGACCTTGAGCCATTGCACATCTGCAATTAGTCACATATTATCTTAATTTGCTCAAGGAATGTGGGCATCGCTGGCTGGGCCAGTATTTGTTGACTTTCCCTAGCCGTCTTTGAGATGCTGTAGTGAGTCGCCTTCTTGAACCACTGCAGTCTACTTGTTGTCAGTAGACCACAATAATGTATGGGAGGGAGTTCTAAGATTTTTATGCAGTAACACCAAAGGGATGGCAATATATTGCCAAGTCAATACAATGTGGAGCTGGAGGAACACCGCAGGTCAGGCAGCACGAGAGGAGCAGGAAAGTCGATGTTTCGAGTTTACACCCTTCAGCAGGGTTGAAGGGTGAAAACCCGAAATGTCAACTTTCCTGCCCCTCAGATGCTGCCTGACCTGCTGTGTTCCTCCAGCTCCACGCTCTATTGACCCTGACTCCAGCATGTGCATTTCTTGCTATCTCCTATTGCCAACTCAAGATGGGTAAGTGGGTTGGAGGGGAACTGGCAAGTAGCAGCATTCCCACGTATCTGCTGCCCTGGTCCATCTAGATGGCAGTGATTGTCAGTTCGGAAGATGCTGTCCAGTGAGCCTTGTTGAATTTCAGTATGCATCTTGTAGATGGTATACCCTCCTGCAACTGAACATGCTATGTTGTAACTGAATTTGATCTGATTAATGTGATCACAATTGAAATTAACAACTTCGCTGGGGCACGGGATGCCAATTTGAGGCAATGAATGCAACCATGTCTCAAGTGGCAGCATTTTAACTTATTTCTGAGACAGAAGGAATAAATGGGTCATTCTCGGGTTGGCAAGCTGTGACCAGTGGGTACAGTACCTAAGCCCCAGCTGTTCACAATCTATATCAATCTGGAAGTGGGGACATTTCCACATTTGCAAGTGACAAAACCTGTTGGGAATGTGAATTATAAGGAGGATGCAAAGGCGCTTCATTGGGATTTAGATAGGGTGAGTGTGTGAGCAAGAACATTGCAGATGGAATATAGGGTGGATGTGTATAAGCTTATTGAATTTATACCAAGGAAGGAGCAGAGCATTTCTTAAATGACGGGAGACTGAAATGTTTTGATGTCCAAAAACACCTAGATGTCATCAGTTATAAGTTACTGAAACCTAACATTCAGGTGCAGCAAGCAATGTGGAAGACAAATGGTGTGTTCACCTTTATTGCAAGACGATTTGAGTACAGGAGTGAACAAGTCTTGCTTCAATTCTATTGAACAGTGGTGAGATTGTACTGGAATATTATGTGCAGTTCTGTTCCCTTTGTTGAAGGAAGGATATACTTGCTACTAAGGAAGTACAGCAAAGATTTGGCAAACTGAAGCCTGGGATTTTCCTACCATGAAAGATTAAGGAGACTAGGCCTGTATTCTCTGGACTGTAGAAGAATGAGAGGTAATTTCACAGAAACTTACAGAATTCTTAAAAGGCTAAACAAGGTAGATGCAGAAAGGATGTTTCCCCGAGTCGTGGGGTTCTAGAACCAGGGACCACAATCTCAGAATAAAAGGCAAGCTACTTAGAGCTGAAGTGAGGAAGAACTTCTCCACTCAAACGATATTGAACCTTTGGAACTCACTACCTGAGAGGTTGGTGAAGGTCAGTCATTAAGTTCAAGGAAGAGATTGATAGATTTATATCCACAAAAAAAAACGAGGACAATATGTGGGATTATGGTATTGAGTTGATGATCAGTCATTGTCTGGAGAGGCAGAGCGGGCCCAAGGATCTGAATGGTCTATTCATGTTCCTATTTTCCTTGTTACGTTCTAGAATGTTGTAGGCTTAAATCCCACTGAAGAATTATGCATGAAATCTAAGTTGAAGCTCACTGAGGCACAGAGGGAATTCCACAATGCTGTCTTTTTGGATGAGTCATTAATCCCAGGTTCCATCGGCCCTGAAATGAATAGAAGGGATTTCATAGCACTGTTTACAAGGGCAAGGTGGGACGGGATGGGGATGGTTCTGCTTGGTTTCTTGCCAATTATCTATCCCACAATAAACAACACAGATTATCTGATCATCTCATTCGCTTTGTAGGATCTAACCGCGCACAAATTGGCTGCAATTTTCCTACACTATGCAATGGCTACATTTTTTGAAACATTAATTGATTGGCTGTAAAGCATTCTAGAATGCTGCAGGGTTATGAAAGGGACTATGTAGATTACAAATCATTTTCTTTGAAACTATTACGCAAACAACCCAATACTTAGAATTATTTTGGACACAAACGATAGGGAATGTAATTTTAGATCAAATATTTACCAGATGTAACAACTGGTATTTTGTTGAATGCTTTTAATGAATCTAGGAAGCTTGACAACAATGACAAGAACAATTTCCATTTATGTAACACCTCTAATGTAGTAAACCATTCCAGAGGCTTACAAAACATAACCAAAACAATAAGGAAATGTATGACAGATGATCAAAATATTTGTCAAAAAGGTAGATTTTGAGGAGCAATTTAAAAGGTAAGAGAGATAGTGAGGTGAGCAAGTTCAGGGAGGGAACTCAAGAGCTTAAGGTCTCTGAAGATTGCCAATGACAAAGCTACTAAAAAAAAATCAATGATGGGTACAAGGTTAGACCTGGAGGAACATGGACAATTCCAACAGCTGAGATAACAAGGTGTAG